TTAATACCAGCACTTTTGGGAAGCCACTGCGGGATGATGCCTTGAGGCCAGGAGTTAGAGACCAGCCTAGGCAACATAGTGAGACCTCCATCTCTAAATTTAAAAAAGGCCTTATCCTGAAGAGATATACGGTCATGGTTTTGGAGTGGAGTTCTTTGGAGTAAACACCAGTTAAGATGAACAGGAAAAAAAGATTTTAAGAGTATGTATTTAGAGAAATGTCACTAAGCTTGAACTGAAAGGACCAGAAAGAGTACAAAATGAAGAGGTCACTGGGCCTCTACATTCTACAGGTAGAAAACAGGCTGAGAAAACTATTCAGCTATACCATATGCTACCTTTTATGAAAAAGGAAGTATGCTATAGGGCAAAACCAAGAATCCAGAGTTCAGAACCAAGAACCAAGAGAATTTCCAGGCATTGAGTTCTAATCAATGAACTGCTAATACGTGCCTGGTAGGATTTCAGAATTGCCACTAACTGGTGGTTCCAATGTGACACCTATTCTCCTATCCTCATTCTTTTTGGAACAGCAGTGTCTATGGAGGTTATCCCATACCTGTTCCACCACTCCATGTTGGATGGGGCTGTAGGCTGGCAAATAATTTGTCTCTAGTTCACAGGTCTTCAGATACAGAGAAACTATACTTGAGATACTGCACATAAGGAATACTAACTACCCAAGGGGGCCTGATCCATGTCTGGACATGATTTGGATAATGACCTTCTAGACTTCAATTTAATGCTGTAATGGATGAAACTTTTCCATTCACTTTCCTAGGAGAAAGTGAATGTGGTTTGCACATAGGAGGTATGTGGTCAGAGGATGTACCTAGTGGCTGTAAATTACATATGCAAATCCTTTGAGGCTTTTTCCTTCAGAGATAGAGCTTGTTTGCCCTCCTCTTGACATGTGGGCTACACTTAGTGACTCACTTTTAATGAATAGAATATTGTAAAAATGATAGGGTAATTTCTGAAACTAGGTCATAAAAGAAATTGCAGCCTCCTTGCTCACTCTCTCCGATCACTCACTCTAGCAGAAGCCAGCTAACCATGTCTTGAAAACACTCAAGTAAAGAGACCCACATGGAAGAACTGGGGCCTTCTCCCAATAGCCAGGAAGGAACTAGAGTCATCTGTCACCAGATATTTTTAAAAGCAGACCACACCCTCCAGCCCCAGTCAAGCCTTCAGGTGACTGCAACTTTGTGAGACCCTGAGCCAGAACTCAACTATGCTGTTCCGGGATTCCTGACACTCAGGTATTTCTTAAGTTTATGTTTATTTTAAGCTGTTTTGGTGGTAATCTGTTGTGCAGCAATAGATAATATACTTCCTCCCCTGTTTGCACAGTACACAATCCCATTCATCAAAAAACATGAAAAAATGGTACTAAGGTTTTGACATGTATGTTTATACACACCCATACGCACATCCCTCAGACAGCTGTTCTGTCATTTCCTGGACATGGTGTCTCTTTCCACTGTTTTGGACTCTATCAATGCCTGGATAAGATCAAGGAATAACCCTATCTCATTCATATCCAAAGTTCTTCTAAGCCATTAGCCCACATACACGAATACAGGGGAAGATACCAATGAGTCTAATTCATAACGTACAGCAGGGGTCAGCAAACTTTTTTCTGTAAAGTGTCAGGTAGTAAATATTTTAGGCTTTGCTGAGTGTATATGGGTCTCTGGCTCTAACAATGTTTTGAAAATTTAAACTTAGCCTAAAAGCCACCGTTTGCCAATGCTTGCCCTAAAGCTAAGAAAGATTTGTGTCTTCTTAGTGGCAGCCTTGCCACACATTGATAATTGTTCTCATTTCAATCTCATAACCAGGAAGGAAAGAGTCTAAGAGGGCTAACCACTGAAATGGAATTTACTTTTTAAAAATTTATATGATGAATGCTTTTTAAAGACAAAATAACTCATCTACATAACATTTGTTTATTTGTTTAACAGAGTCTTTCTCTGTTGTCCAGGCTGGAGTGCAGTGGGGCAATCTCAGCATACTGAAATCTCCACCTCCCAGGTTCAAGCAATTCTCCTGCCTCAGCCTCCCGAGTAGCTGGGATTACAGGCACACACCACCATGACCAGCTAGTTTTTCTATTTTTAGTAGAGACAGTGTATCACATGTTGGTCAGGCTGGTCTGGAACTCCTGGCCTCAAGTGATCCACCTGCCTTGGCCTCCCAAAGTGTTAAGATTACAGGCATGAGCCACTGTATCCGGCCAGCATTTGAAAGAAAAAAAATCACTGAGATTAAGTAAACTCAATGGTATTTAGAATTTCTCATTCTTTCCATAGATATTACTATGAATAACTGCAATTACAAAGTACATATAACTTTATCTATTGCTTTCTTATTTTACATTGTAGCCAAACTTTGTACTGCAATAGCTCCTATAATTATTACTTTTGATAACTGAAGACTGTCTGTAGTAGGTATATATCTAATTATTTCTTTACTTTCAGTTTGGTTCCTAAGGTTTTATTTGTTTTTGAGGCAGGGTCTCTTGTCACCTAGGCTGGCATATAGTGGTACAATCATAACTCACTGCAGCCTTTCCTGGACTCAAGCCCTCCTGCCCTCATCCTCTAAGTAGCTGGTCAGACTACATGTGTGCACCACCATGCCCTGCTAATTTTTTTTTTTTTTTGAGACGCAGTTTCACTCTTGTTGCCCAGGCTGGAGTGCAATGGCACAATCTCAGCTCACTGCAAGTTCCACCTCCTGCATTCAAGTGATTCTCCTACCTCAGCCTCCCAAGTAGCTGGGATTACAGGTGACTGCCACCAGGCCTGGATAATTTTTGTATTTTTAGTAAAGATGGTGTTTCACCATCCTGGCCAGGCTGGTCTCGAACTCTTGACCACAGGTGATCCGTCCATCTTGGCTTCTCAAAGTGCTGGGATTACAGGTGTGAGCCACCATGCCCCGCCACCCCACTAATTTTGAAAATTTTAGTAGAGACAGGAATTGTACCTGGGAGGCGGAGGAATTTTTCCAAGTTTTGTAACTAGGAATTACTCTCAAATGAGTATTTGCTTATTAATTTTTAAACTATATTCAACTGAGGGGAAACTGATTTTTTTTTTTGAGAGAGTCACTCTGTCGCCCAGACTGGACTGCAGTGGCACAATCTCAGCTTACTGCAACCTCTGCCTAGCAGGTTCAAGTGATTCTCCTGACTCAGCCTCCTGAGTAGCTGAGATTACAGGCATGGGCCACCATGCCCAGCTTAGATTTGTATTTTTAGTAGGGATGGGGTTTCACCATATTAGCCAGGCTGGTCTCAAACCCCTGACCTTAAATGATCTGAAGTGGGGACAGATTTCTATAATTAAAACTCATTTTTTATAATTTATAGAAACCAAACTTATCCTTTTTCTTTAAGTAACTCATGAAGTAATTTGAAAATGATTTTTGGCTGGCCGTGGTGGCTCACGCCTATAATCCAAGCACTTCGGAGGCCAAGGCTGGCGGATCACCTTAGGTTGGGAGTTCAAGACCAGCCTGACCAACATGGTGAAACCCTGTCTTAAAAAAAGAAAAAAATTTAAAAAAAGAAAATGATTTTTATATAGAAATGTCAGGTATACACACTCTCCAAGGAATATTAAATTCTCTTAAAACATTCAGCCTGCAAAATTTTAAATCTTTAGAATTAACTTACCCAAAAAAGTAACAAGAATAAAGACTTTAATAAAAAAAAATGCATCAAAATATTTGGGATTCAGAGAATGCTGTCAACAGAGGTAGGCAAAGGTTTGAATCCACTGATTGACTGAGACGGAGTCTCACTCTGCCACCTAGGCTGGAGTGCGGTGGCACGATCTCGGCTCACTGCAACCTCCACCTCCCAGGTTCAAGTGATTCTCCTGCCTTAGCCTCCTGAGTTGCGGGGACTACAGGCATGCACCACTATGCCCAGCTAATTTTCGTATTCTTGCTAGAGATGGGGGTTTCACCATGTTGACCAGGCTGGTCTTGAATTCCTGAGCTCAGGTGATACACCCACCTCGGCCTCCCAAAGTGCTGGGATTACAGGCATGAGCCACCATGCCCGGCTAGTTTGAATTCTTTATTTAAAAAGAAAAGAAGTAGGTCATGCATAGTGGCACACACTTGTAATCCCAACACTTTGGGAGGCCAAGGCAGGAGGACTGTTTAAGCCCAGGAGTTCAAGAGCAGCCTCAGCAATATAGCAGGACCCTGTCTCTACCAAAAAAAAAAAAAAAAAAAAAAGTAAATCAGAAACATTGATAAAACCAGCACGAATTAATGAGATGAGGAAATACACTTTAATATTAGAAGTGAGAAAGGAAGTGAGATTCTGAGTAGTTAAAACAATATCCTACCCCAAATGGAACTAGTTTTGCTTCAGGAAAGGAAGTTTCTAACAAGAAAGCTGTAAGTGCAACCAAGTAAAAACTTGGATTAGTAAAGAAAAGTAAATGACTGTCTTAACAGATGTTGTAAATTATAAAACAAAATAATTTTCTTTGAAGATTCTAAAAACTGGAAATAGAAATTCTTTAAGTAATACACATTACCTTCAGGGGCAAATCAATAAGGCTCAAAAATGGACACAAATGGCAAGAAGGCAAAGATTACATAGTGGTACTGAATAAAAATTAAAAACTAAAAGTAGACCAGGCATTGTGACTCATACCTGTAATCCCAGCACTTTGGGAGACCAAGGCAGGTGGATCACTTGAGGCCAGGAGTTTGAGACTAGCCTGGCCAACATGATGAAACTTCATCTCTACAGAAAGTACAAAACTTAGCTGGGTATAGTCTGTAGTACCAGCTGCTCAGGAGGCTATGCACGAGAATCACCTGAACTCAGGAGATGGACATTGCAGTGAGCTGGGATTGTGCCACTATACTTCAGCCCGGGCCACAGAGTGAGACTCTGTCTCAAAAAACAAAAACAAACTAAAAATATCCCATTTTACTTATAGTGGAAAGACAATACAGCAACATTGTTTTTCACAAAACATTTTATTACTATAATTGATATTTTGCTTACAATTTTTGGCAACATTAATAAAATAATAAATTTCATCTGAAAGAACAAGCGAGCAAAATAGACCAGAAAATTCACAAAGGGTAATAACAAAATAGTAATCTTGACATATTCAATATATTTGTAAACAAAGTGACATTGCCTTAAAAATATATAGAGGTATCAATAGAAAAAACAGAAAAAGCTCCTGAAAGAACGCACTATATTAATTTTCATTTGGTTGCAGGCACAGAAATTGACTCAAGCTTAGCTCTACTCTAAGACAGAAGCAAAGCCCTTGATGATGATCGCTTTCCAACTTTTTCATGAAAACCTAGGAAATTTAAATAGACTGAAGAGAGAAGAAAAGAGTAGGGAGACGGTAAAGTGCCTTTAAGAGGAGAAAGTTAAAAGGTGGCTGTCGTTTAAAAAAAAAAAAAAAGGAGGGAGATTTCATTGTCAGTGTCATTCTAAGAGCCTTGAAGCTCAATGAACCAAAGGAAGTGTCAAACAATTAAGTGAGGTAGCAAGCCATGCAGGCCAAGGGGAAGGACATTCTACGAAACAAAATAACATGTGCAAAGTCTTTGGATTGGGAAGAATGTGATTTGCTTAAGGAACAGCAAGGCCAGTGTGTCAAAATAGTGCATCATTGGGGAAAACAGTAGAGAAGCACGACAGAGAATGAAATATAGAGGAAGGAGGTAGGCAGGGACCAGATCACTGGAATCTATAGTTGGCAATTAATGACCATATGTACTCCTTAAGAGCATGCTTTAATGAAACAGCAAACAAGTGTTTCTAATACCAACCAATCACTAAAACATACAAATTAAACATTTCATATTTTTGCCAAGAAACAGACTACAGGGGATAAGTATGAAAAGTCTATAGATCTATTTATACACAGTAGGAATATCTACCTGAGACCAGAACAACTGGCACAAACACCCAACTGCACACACATACCCTTTCTTCAACTAAAGAAAGGATTCGGGCTGAAATTTTAGCAAAATTTCTTAACCGAAGCAAAGTAACTGAAAAGGCCTAGTAGTGTTCAAGGTGCAAATCAATTAAGTGAGCATCAGGTAAATAAATACAACATAATCTATGGATCTAAAATTAGAAAATAGATTTCTAAAACGTGGATAATAAAATAAATAAAAGTTTAAAAAATTTAAAAACAAAAAACAAAACATAGATAATATACTCTCAACTTTATTATCTGTACTGCCTTCTACTCTTGTTCTAAGAGGGATGCTAAACTCTTAATTATCTCTTCCCAACTTTTTGTAAAACTCTTAGGAAATTTAACTAGATTGAGGAGAGAAGAACGGAGTGGGGAAGAGATAAGGTGCCTTTAAGGAGAAATCAAGGAAAAAAGGAGATTTCTCCAGACCTATGTCTATAGTCAAGATGCCAAGATTCCTTGATTGGTGAAGACCGGCTGCTAGTCACCTCGGTCAGGGGTGGCACAGAGGATGGCACCAGAACACAACCAGGGAGACAACTTAGGAATCCACAGAGGCAGCCAAGGCTGCTGATGTTCAGGAACTAATATTCAAAAGGTATTCAAGAATTCTATAAAACAGCCTCTGCGGAGAGCAAGGGAAAAATGTTCCCCCATAGTAATAGTACAGATTAGATAGGGTAGATTAAAGAACATTAACTCTAAGTCTTAACACTTACTGAATTAGAGAGACATTTTTTGCACACTGGTGTGTCAAGACACAAACAGCATTAGTGTTGATAAACTGGGAAACTATACATACAACAGAATAACTGTAAGCTGTAATACATTCATGTCCAAGGCAAGATATAAAAGTCACAAGCTTCCCATTAGGGCAAAATACATATGCACAAAAAAATATAAAGCCATTATGGGTTTAAATTTAGTCACCCTGGGTTATTTTTGTGCACTGTATCTTCTGTTCTTGGACAGTCCCCATTCCAGCTTAACAGTAGGAAAACTAAATTTAGCCAAGTCCAGGAACTGGACAGACACCACTTGTTTGGCCCTTTTCAGTTAAAACTTTGGGTCCAATATAGTTCAAATTATAGACATCTTTCAAATTATAGATATCAGAGTGTCTTCCCCTCGGGAAACTTAACTTGCTTTACTGGGGTGGCTGAGAGGAATATGGCCAGTTCATTCTCCACTAATAGCTAGCCAAAAGGGAGAGGAGAGGGAATGAATCAAATTCACCTTTAGATCACAGAACAGGAAGTCAGCTAGCACCAGCAACCATTCTATTAATTTTATTGCTACTTCATTCATCTCAAACCAATGATACATGGCGACTGTTTGATGTCTGCAGCAGCCTCTCACCAAACAAAGGCATTTTACTTTGAATGGTTTGGCTTCCTTGGATATTTTCGGGTTAGGTAAACACACTCTAAAGCAGTGTTCCTTTTGACCTAGCCCCAAGACCAGAATGAATGTATGTCTATCCTTCAACTGGGACAAAGAGCTACTGCTCTCCCTCAACTAACCTTCACTTTCTTGGTCTCTGCTCATGCAGCAGCTTCTCTTTCAATTCCACACCCTGGCTTTTCAGAATCTTTTCAGGTTATTTTATGCCAGAACATCAGAGGCACTTCTGGGAATTCAGCAGCAAGTGGCCAGGGCATAACAAAGCCATTCCAGTCTAACTAGAGTTAACCATGAAATCTTTAATGCATGGAAAAAGCTGAAAAGAAAACTAAGTATTTCAAAAATTCTATGAATTCTGTATATAGAAAGAAGAGCTTTCAAGCTTAGGAGTAACATGAAATACCAAAATAATAAATAGGTGCTCACACATGGTAGGCTGAGGTGGGAGGCTCGCCTGAGGTCAGGAGTTCAAGACCAGCATGGGCAACATAACGAAGCTCCATCCCAACAAAAAGTTAAAATAAAAACTTAGCTGGGTGTGGTGGCTGCACCTGTAGTCCTAGCTACTCTCCAAAGGCTGAGGCAGAGGAATGCTTGAGCCCAGGAGGAGTTCACGGCTACAGTGAGCTAGAATCATGCCACTGCACTCTAGCCTGGGTGACAATGAGACCCTGTCTCTAAAAAAAAAAAAAAATTAAAATTAAAAAAATAAATTAATACCTTTTTCTCTCTCACACATACACATACACTTTTTATGTGGTAAGATACAGTTAACATGAAAACCAGATGCTTTAAAATACCTCAAAATTCGGATCAAATATTATATATATCCTAAATTTTGTTTTAAAAGTCACATATAATCCCCTAATTTCACTATTTTTGGTGCCACTGAATAATGTATGGTTTGTATTCCTTTTTATGACATTTTAAAATTCAGTTTGAAATACCTGCTTTAAATTTATTGAAATCAGAATTAATGAAACTTTTTTGAAATTTTGCTTTTAGAACTGGGGGGTGATGGTTCGGAGTCAGATGTGCTCACAGTTATGGGTGCTACTTCCACTGATCCTGGCTGAAGAGGTTCCAGCGACACTTGAATAATAACTTTTGTTTCAGGAGGTAATCCTTCCAGTTGTTTAGGCTTCTTAAACATTTGATGACACTGGGTCTTGTGCTCCATTTTCTCCTTGAAAGTTAAAAACTGTAGTCGGCACTTAGAACACTGATGTACATTCTTTCCACAATGGCCCCTATAATGACACATGTATGGTGTTGCAGTTTTGAAAATTTTGAGACAAAAGGGACAAAGCAAATTCTTTGTGTTTTCATGGCATGTTCTAAAATGTGTTTCCACATCAGCAAAGAACGATGATCTGTAATGGCAAACATGGCACACATAGGGCATTTCCCCAGGCTTATGATGGTCCTTCATGTGTTGTAAAAGGACCTGATCTGTTTCAAATGATAATTCACAAATCTTACAGACCGTAGAGGGCTCCTGGGCAGTGTGGACATTTTCGATATGACACTGCAGCTGAAATGGAGTGGGAAACTGACGGTGGCAGTGCTGGCAGGTTATGTGGTTTTCCCAGCTGTCGTTCCTCTGCTTCTCAAATTCCAAATGATGCTTCATGTGATTCATGAACTTAACATTTTTTAGAACTTTCAAGCAGCTGAGGCATTTAAAGGTGGTGTGAGTCTTCTGTTCTGGCTGCCCATCTCCTTTATGCTGTCCATAGTAGAAGTCACTAAGTAATACAATCGGATTTTCTTTCTTGGGATCAAGGCTCTTGTTTTGACTTGCTAGACTCAAAATGTCTGTTTTTGCCAATTCATTTTCCCTATCAAGATTTATATTTATAGGCTTGAAATGCATATTGTCCTTTGGAAAAGCTTCTAGAAAAGGTGCTCCATTTGGAACATGGCTTAATGAGGTATGCACATTGTTTGAGGGTGTACTTTGCTGAGTACTCACTGTATTCACTGTATGAAAGGTATCTGAAGGGGATGAAGCTGAAGAATATCCTTCCATAATTCCATCCCTGAGTTTAGACCTTTTGGGATTTATGCTGTTTACTTCAGAAGTGGAAAGTCGCTTTGATACACAAGGACTTTCACTTATACCTCCTACTGAAAGTGCTGCACTTACTGGATGATGCAATGAACCTGTGAATTTAATCAAAGGAGAAGGTAGTTCTGAAGAGCTATTAGGCACAACTTGTGGTGAACTATTTTTATAATCAGGTTTAGACAAAGGCTCAATAATAATAGGACTATCTGCTGATCTCGATTCAAGTTGGGAAGCTGGCAAGACAGTCACTGCTTCTGATGTAAGGTTCTCATGACTTGTAGGCTGCAATTTGTGAGCAGTGTCTTTTCTAAGATGACCATACTTTCTTCTCCTTGACCATGAACCCGGGGTGACTCTGTTCAAAATGTTTGAAACGACTGGTTTTGAATTTGAAGTCACTCCAACAAAGATTAGCTCAGCATCTTCATTTACATGTTCCACACCAACAAAGATGAGCTCAGCATCTTCATCATCTACTTGTTTGGTTTCTTTTATGTTCTTTTGTGGTTCAGGTTCTTTTTCTTCATCACATGATTGCTCCATTTTCTAATTTTTTTATTCTGGAACAGTGCAGCCACAAGTCCCAATGCTTCCTTGATATAACTGCCACCTAAGTACAAACACACTATATATCAGTAAATACAGAAAAATGCATTATCTTATTTAATTATCTTCCAAAACGCTAAGGTTTTTTATAAACATCACTATTTTACAGACAAGGCCACCGAGACTGAAAGAGAATAAATAACAGCTTAAAGCCTATGATAAAAGATCAGGTTCCTATGAATCAGAATCATGATTTTCCTGTACTGATTATGCTCTCTTCCATTTAAAAAGAAAGAAAAACCTTCCAGCAACGAATCATTAGGCAAAATTATATGGAAAAGGGCACATACTTTTACAAGGGCACTACTGTGCAGTGTTTAGAAACATGGGCTTTGGACTTGGAAAATAAGCTGCAATCCTTAGTCTGCCACACACAGCTGCATCCTCTTTAGCAAGTTTTTACTTTTAAATGTATTTTGCTATCCTAAAGGCGAAAAATCTTATTCCTTAGACTTACAGTAACAGTTGTTTTTTAAAAGCACCACCTACTCAATTACAGTAACAGTTGTTTTTTAAAAGTACCACCTATTCCATGGCAGCTTCTAGTGGAATTGGAAGATTATATTAAATGTACACATCTCTATTGATTGATATATAATAACCTCATAAATATTAATATAGAAAGGACATATTAAATTTATAGGGTTAGAGTACCTACATAGAGCCAACAAACAGTACAGCACACTGTCAAGTGCCAGGCAGATAATCTCATCCAAACTCATGGCCTTCATTATAATCCATTCACTAATGCCACCTGTATTTTTCCCCTCCAGTCCTGACTTACCTACTGAACTTAAATAAAAGTCCCTCCTCCCTCAATCCATCTCAGTTTCTTCTCCATATGGCAAGCAGATTGACTCTGATAAACCAAGTCAGACTGTATCACTGTTCAGCTCAAAACCCACTAATGGCTTTCTGATTAACTAAGAGTAAAAGACCAAGTCTTTCCAATGCCTAGAAGACCACACCACAAACCCCATATACTGCTCCTGTGGTTATCTCATAGTACTCTCCCCTATCCACTTCACTCTGGCCACACTAACCTCCTTGCTATATTTTTATTTAAATTTTTATTTTTATTTTTTAATTTAATTTAATTTTCTTGAGACAGAGTCCTGCTCTGTCACCTAGGTGCTATCTCAGCCCACTACAACCTCTATTAGCCAGGTTCAAGCGATTCTCATGCCTAAGCCACCTGAGTAGCTGGGACTACCGGCGCATACCACCATACCAGGTTAATTTTTGTATTTTAAGTACAGATGGGCTAGTCTCGAACTTCTGACCTCAAATGATCCATCTGCCTCAGCCTCCCAAAGTGCTGGGATACAGGTGTGAGCTACCGCACCTGGCCTTCCCTGCTATATCTTGAACATACTAAGCTCTTTACCTTGCGCAGAGCCCTTATTCCCTCCAATATGAATGATCTTCATTTGGATATCTGCATGGCTTGCTCCTCACTACCTTTAGGGCTCTATTCCAAGTATCCCTCTCAGTGAGGTTCTCAAATATTCCAACCAACCTCTAACCCATATTCCTAATCTCTTTTCCCTTTTCTTTCATCCTCAAGCCCTATCACTGTTTAACATATTATTATTATTGGTTTTCTTTTTTTTTTGAGACAGAGTCTCACTCCGTCACCAGACGCCAGGCTGGAGTGCAGTGGTTCAACATCGGCTCACTGCAACCTCCGCCTCCCGGGTTCAAGCACTTCTCCTGCCTCAGCCTCCCGAGTAGCTGGGACTACAGGCGCTTGCCGCCATGCCCAGCTAATTTTTTTTGTATTTTTTGTAGAGATGGGGTTTCACCATGTTGGCCAGGATGGTCTCAATCTCTTGACCTCGTGATCCGCCCGCCTCGGCCTCCCAAAGTGCTGGTATTACAGGCGTGAGCCACTGTGTTTAACATATTATAATCTTATTTATTTTGATTTTCTACTGTCCGTCCAGTGAAACAAAAAACTCAAAAGGGCAGGTATCGTATCTTTTGTTGACTGTTCTATACCTCGCACAAAGAAGTACCTGGGACAGGACAGACGCTCAACAAATACAAAATTTGTTAAATGAACCAATAAATAGTAACTCTCCTTCATAAGATCCTTTATTTTTAAAGAAGATTATGCTCCATTAATTCCACATTTTGTATGAATTTACTCTGAGAACTTTATCCATCAGAAATTCTGCAGGCCAATAAAGGACTTAAAGCTGCTGGCTTATTACAAATATTTGACCACAAGCAATAGTTAAAAAAAGTTATATGGAGTTCAATTACATAAGCACATACACATAACCACCTTTACTACAAATGCTGCATTCTACTATTTTCTATTTCTTTTTCTTTTTGAGACACAGTCTAGCTCTGTTGCTCAGGCTGGAGTGCAGTGATGCAATCTTGGCTCACTGCAGCCTTTGCCTCACAGGTTCAAGCGATTCTCCTGCCTCAGCCTCCCAAGTAGCTGGGATTACAGGTGACCGCCACCACGCTCAGCTAATTTTTGTATTTTTAGTAGAGATGGGGTTTCACTATGTTGGCCAAGCTGGTCTCGAACTCCTGACTTTATGGATCCATCCACCTCGGCCTCCCAAAGTGCTGAGATGACAAGCATCAGCCACAGTGCCTGGCCTCATTTTTCTTAAATTAACCAATGACCCATGAAATCAGTTGAGCTTCATCACTAAGTCACTACTAGTTGTTTGAAAACTGGACTAATGCTAGCAAAATGTAGGTACTATAAACCAAGGTTCATAAAGCACCAATTTCTAAAAACATATCAAGATTCACTGTATCCCAATATGGACTTTCAAACCATCATAATCAAAATTGTAAAAATTAAACTGCCATCTAATATATGCCATGCACATTGTTTTCATTTTTTTTTTCTTTTTGAGATGGAGTTTCACTCTTGTTGCCTAGGCTGGAGTGCAATGGCACTATCACAGCTCACCGCAACCTCTGCCTCCTAGGTTCAAGCGATTCTCCTGCTCCAGCCTCCTGAGTACCTGGGGTTACAGGCATGTGTCACCATGCCTGGCTGATTTTGTATTTTTAGTAGAGACGGGGTTTCTCTGTTGGTCAGGCTGGTCTCGAACACCCAACCTCAGGTGATCCACCCACCTCGGCCTTCCAAAGTGCTGGGATTACAGGCATGAGCCACCTCAACCAGCCTGTTTTAATTTTAATTAGGATATCAGCATCTAATTTTGTAACATATACACAATATTTATTCCTATAAATATGTGTATCACCTTGGAAGTGAATTTAAAAAGGAATACACCATGCCCGGCCCCTTCCTCATTTATTCTAAAACTATTATTTTGTTTGCCCATTTCTGGTCAGAGATTGTGACAGTGGTAAATGCATGAAGGATACAGGGTGCTGTATCATGAATAGTGATTTACAACTTAATTAGTAGATACACAATGCCAGAAAAAATATAAGGCAGATATGAATAAACTGCTCTTTGGAGTCAACTAAAATTGGTTTATTCTGGGTATACACAACTTCAATCACCTACCTCCAGAATGATGCCACCTAGCCCAGTGTTTCCTAAGCATTACTGACATTTGGGACCAGATAATTCTTTGCTGGGGGCTGTCAAGAGCACTGTAGGATGTTTAGCAGCAACTGTCATCCCTACCCACTAGATTCCAGCAGCAATCCCCCAGTGTGGCAGCCAAAAATGGCTCCAGGAATTACCAAATGTCCTGTGGGGTAACTCCTGACCAAATCCAATCTTCTTCTCAGGATCACTTCCACATTTCCAGTAACCACCTTATAGGTAATTCTAAGCGTATTTTTTAACATCCTCTCTAAAGAAAATATTCTGGCTGGGCGTGGTGGCTCACGCCTGTAATCCCAGCACTTTGGGAAGCCAAGGCAGGTGGATCACAAGGTCAGGAGTTCAAGACCAGCCTGGCCAACATAATGAAAGCCTGTCTCTACTAAAAATATAAAAAATTAGCCAGCTGTCGTGGCAGGTGCCTGTAATCCCAGTTACTCAGGAGGCTGAGGGAAGAGAATCATTTGAACCCAGGAGGCGGAGGTTGCCATGAGCTGAGATCACACCATTGCACTCCAGCCCATGCAACAGTGTGAGACTATGTCTCAAAAAAAGTAAAAAAAAAAAAAAAAAAAAAAAATACTCTAAATCAAAATTATTCATATTTTCCAATATTCTAAAAAATGAGATGATACTCTGACATGGCCATTAGATTTATCTGAATATTAATTTATTATTATTATTGTTATTTTTCTTTTCAAGATGGAGTCTTGCTGTCACCCAGGCTGAAGTGCAGTGGCATGATCTTGGCTCACTGCAACCTCAGCCTCCTGGGTTAAAGCGATTATCCTGCTTCAGCATCCTGAGTAGTTGATATTACAGGTGTGCCATCACGCCCAGCTAATTTCTGTATTTTTAGGAGAGACTAGGTTTCACCATGTTAGCCAGGCTGGGCTCAAACTCCTTACCTCATGATCCACCCGCCTCGGCCTCCCAAAGTGCTGGAATTACAGGTGTGAGCCACTTGTGCCCAGATAATCTGAAGATTAATTTTTAAAGCCCCAAAACATTTCTGACTTACTAAAGTTACATGGAGGGTTTGCAGACAGAGTGAGCACTAAAATGCCTAATTCCTGAATTCTGGTTTTGTCCTCTTGCTGCTAAAAGTTACTTAGTGCACACCTATTTCTGATGATATTGCTCTTAACTGCTTAGTCTCTGGGAATTAAAAGTCTCATTAGATTCATTTTTCACTCTCTATTTTTTAAACCTATTCAAACCTTCTCTACCTCCCAGAAAATGTCAAAGTACCTTCTAAGCCATTCTAAATAACTTTTAGAGCATTGCTCATTTTACCTTTCACGTCCATTCCTACTAACAGCCTCAGCCCAGGTCCCAACTTCTAGGTTTAGGTCCACTGGTTACTTCATTTTTGTACACTTGTATTAGACCCTAAATTGCTGTCTCTTTTATCTGTCCTTCAAATTTTATAACAGACCATCACTAGACAGATCTTAAAACACCACTGTTAATTATATCATTCAACTATTTCTAAGTGTTAAAGGAGTCCTCTAATTCTAGAGAATATTTTAGGTATACATAATTTGGGTTATGCTATAGGCTGAACTGTGTCTCCCTGCCCACCGCCCCAAATTTGTATACTGAAGCTATAACCTCCAATGTAATGGTCCTTTGGGTGATAATCATGTTAAGATGTATTTATGAGAATAGGGCCCTCATGATGTGATTGGAACCCTTATAAGAGGAGATACCATAGACTTTGCTTCCTCTCTTTGTCATGTGAGAACACAGCAAGAAGGCAGTCATCTACTAGTCAGGAAGAGAGCCTCCACTAGGGAACCAAATTGGTCAGCATCTTGATCTTGAACTTCCCAGCCTCCAAAATCTTGAACTTCCCAGCCTCCTATTGTTAATAAACAAAGAAGAAAAAATTAAACTGGATTCAAATAACATTGCTGGACTTCCCAACTACCTGATCTTGGTTAGATTTTTGGCTGCTATCCATACTGATTAACCCTCCATACAACCATCACTCAAAATGAAAAAGAGGAATAGAGCAAGAATCAGGAACAAAGCTAGTAAGTTAATGAACAAGTTCATTAAGAACAAGAGTAGCACCAGACCATGAGAGAGTTTTCTTCTTCTCTAGATATCCAGAGGCCCTTTTCTACAAATGTCTACCAACGGATGAATGAACTCTTATTTTCCAGTTTACCAAAATCTTGAGACACTGGGGTAGGAAGGTTAGACATGCAAAGACATATCAGATCTAAAGGGTCTGTCCTCAAAAATCGACTCTCACCCCCATGATGGGAGAAGCCAATAGGAGGGCTTCAACTCCAAAGAAAGCTGAGAGATCAGTGGATGATAATCCGCCTTCCAGGTGATTTCTGTGTATTCAAACAATGGCCCTTCTAGTAGATCATTGTTATAATAACACACAAGTTTTTTTCAAGGCATCAGTCCCTGTTGAGTAACTTCTGTGATTAGATTTTAGGCCACCAGGACTCCTTTGGTACCTATCTCTACCATCTTCCCTTGCCTATCACTTTCTTCACCCCACTGCTGCTTTCTCAAAATCCTGCCCTACCTCCCTCACTCTCCTATCTACAGTACTCATCCCCTACCCCACCAATAACTCTACACATTTGCTGCCTTAGAATTGAATGCCCATTAAACACAGATCCTTGGGGTAAATGTGAGTTTTATAGGACCCCTTAAAACTGAAGCAAACATTTGTATTCCATCCTAGGGCAACTAAAGAAAACAAAAATAACTTTTTAATAAATTTTTTTAATAAATGCTTTTTCAAAAATAAGCTGAGGATGGGAGAGTGGTGTAAAGTAGGGTTGAAACTAGCCTGAGAAGCCAGGCGCGGTGGCTCACGCCTGTAATCTCAGCACTTCAGGAGGCTGAGGCAGGCAGATAACCTAAGGTGAGAAGTTCAGGACCAGCCCGGCCAACATGGTGAAACCCTATCTTTACTAAAAATACAAAAATTAGCCAGGTGTGGTGATGGGCAGCTGTAATCTCAGCTACCTGGGAGGCTGAGGCAAGAGAATCGCTTGAACCCAGGAGGTAGAGGTTGCTGTGAGCCAAGATCATGCGACTGCACTCCAGCCTGGGCGACAGAGCAAGACTTGGTCTCAAAAAAAAAAAAAAGAAAAAGAAAAAAAAAAAGAAATCTACTAGAAGGGCTATTGTTTGAATGCACAGAAATAATCTGGAAGGTGGGTTATCATCCACTGATCTCTCTGCTTTCTTTGGAATTGAAGGCTTCCTATTAACTTCTCCCATCACGCCGGTGAGAACTGATATTTGAGGACAAACCTGTTAGATCTAATATGTCTTTGCATGTCTAATCTCCCTACCCTAGTTAGAGTTCTGCATGGGATCTACTTTTTTTTTTTTTTTTTTTTTTGAGACAAGAGTCTCACTCTGTTGCCCAGGTTGGAGTGCAGTGGCGCAATCTCCGCTCACTACAACCTCCACCTCCTGGGTTCAAGCAGTTCTCCTGTATCAGCCTCTGGAGTAGCTGGGACTACAGGCACACGCCACCACACCCATCTAATTTTTGTATTTTTAGTAGAGATGGGATTTTACCATATTGGTCAGGCTGGTCTCAAACTCCCAACCTCAGGTAACCCACCCACCTTGGCCTCCCAAAGTGCTGGGATTATAGGCGTGACCTAGTGTGCCCAGCCTGGGATCTACTCTTTTTTTTTTTTTTTTGAGACAGAGTTTTGCTCTTGTTACCCAGGCTGGAGTGCAATGGCGTGATCTCGGCTCACCGCAACCTCCGCCTCCTGGGTTCAGGCAATTCTCCTGCCTCAGTCTCCTGGAGGAGGTGGAAGCGGCAGTGAGTTGAGTTCACGCCACTGCACTCCAGCCTGGGCAAGAAGAGTGAAACTCCATCTCACATACAAAACAAACAAACAAACAAAAATCCTCTCAGTTTTAGTGAAGAAACTTGACTCTGAACTATCAGACCACTTTTAGTTTGAACTGCCATGCTGTCAAATCTCTTTTGTAGACTCTTCTGACCAAGATTCTACTCACAGGAGGAAAGGAAGGGAAAAGGGAAAAATGACTGATTTTCTCTGTTGCTTAAGAGTAGATCCACGGCCGGGAGCGGTGGCTCAAGCCTGTGGTAGGTGGAAGCCTCCTGAATAGCTGGGATTACAGGCGCATGCCACCACACCCAGCTAATTTTTGTATTTTTAGTAGCTTCAAGGTTTCACCATGTTGGGCAGGCCTGTCTCGAACTCTTGACCTCAGATGATCCGCCAGCCTCGGCCTACCAGAGTGCTGGGATTACCGGTGTGAGCCACCATACCCAGCCTAAAGCTGAGCTTTTTTTTTTGAGACGGAGTTTCGCTTTTGTTACCCAGGCTGGAGTGCAGTGGTTCAACATCAGCTCACTGCAACCTCCACCTCCTGGGTTCAAGCAATTCTCCTGCCTCAGCCTCCCGAGTAGCTGGGACTACAGGCACGCGCCACCATGCCCAGCTAATTTTTGTATTTTTAGTAGAGATGGGGTTTCACCTTGTTGACCAGGATGGTCTTGATCTCTTGACCTCGTGATACACCCGCCTCGGCCTCCCAAAGTGCTGGGATTACAGGCGTGAGCCACCACGCCCAGCCAAGCTGAGCTTTTAAAGTACTTGGAGAATGATTTGAAGAGGGGTTATGGAGGACCACAAAAAAGACAACTAAAAAAACGCCTAACAAAGTCAATTTGTTAAATGCTCAGCAACAGGGTGAAGTTAAGGGGAATGGCAGAATAAAGACCTACAAATAGCTGCTCCTTCAATAAAAGCAAAGAGAACACTAGTAAAAACTATAAAAATCACATTTTTCGAATCCTGGAAATTAACAAAAGCTTGTGAAAAATCAAAAAATTTTAGTGCAAAATGGTTTGGCAGTTCCTCAAAATGTTAAACATAGACATGATCATACAAATCTACTTCTAAATATATACTAAAAGAAATAAAGGTACTCAAGTACATATATACATGTTTATAGCAGCAATTCATAATAACCAAAAGGTGGAAACAACCTAAATGTACATCAATGGATGAATGCATAAACAAATCATGGTATATATATATATATATATATATATATATATATATATACCCACACACACACAATAGACTGTTTATTCAGCCATAAACAATATACATGCTACAACATGGTAAACCCTAAAAACAGACCATATAAAAGAAGTCAGGCACAAAAGCTCACATATTGTACGATTTCATTTACAGGAAATATGAGAAATAGATAAATCCATTGATATTAAACAAAGATTTGTGGCTGCCAGAAGATAGGGAAGGAGAAATGATGAGAAACTGTTTTATGGGTAAAGGGGTTTTATTTGGAATGATGGAAATATATCAGAACTATGATAGAGGCAGCACATGTACAATATTACGAATACACTAAATGTCACTAAATTGTTTAAAGTGACTGATTTTATGCTATGTGACTTTCACCTCAATGAATTATTTTTTAAAAATAAAGAGGGTATACTACAGAAATAAAGAGAATTATAAAGGAATACTATGAAAAATTATCTGCCAACAAATTAGATAACCTAGATGAAACAAATTCCTAGAAAGACAAGAACTAATGAACTGAGTCAAGAACAGAAAATATGAATGGATCCAAAACAAGAGATAAGAGTTAGTAATCAAAAAACTTCCCAAAATAGAAGCCCAAAATCAGATAGCTATGCTAGTAAATTCTTAATATTAGAATTATTGGAATTAATTAATTTTTGGAATTTTTGGAATTCTCAAGTTTTCTGTCTGGAGGACAGAAAACTTTTGCACATCATTCTACGAGATTAGTTATTACTGATACCAAAATCAAACCAAGAAATCATACAAAAAAGAAAACTACAGGCCAATATCCCTTATAGAGGGAAAAATCTCAACAAATATTAGCAAACAAAATCTAACAACATATCTAATGATTACATACCATGACCAAGTGGGATTTATTTTAAAAATACAAGGTTGGTTCATTCTATGAAAATCAACTAACATTGTATCATTTTAATAAAGGACAAAACCCACACCTGTCTAAAGAAAAATCACTTGACAAAAGCTAACATCCTTTTATGATTTGAAACAAAAAACAAAATGACTAGGAACAGAAGGGAACTTTCTCCACCAGACAAAGACATCTGTATGAGACTCACAGCTATTAAAGTATCATTACTTAATGGTGAGACTGAAAGTTCCCCTGTCCCTAAGATCAGGAACAAGACAGATGTCCACTTTCACCACTTCAACACTGTACTGGAGGTTCTACAGCCAAGGTAATTAGGCAAGAAAATGAAGCAAAAAGCATTCAGATTGGAAAGGAAGAAGTAAAACTATAATGGAGATGACAAATACAAGTAACTCAATTTTTTAAAAGGCAAAGAACTTGAATAGACATTTCTCCAAAGATGATATACAAAAGACCAAGTAAATATGTTCAGCGTCATTAACCATAAAAGAAATGCATATCAAACCCACCATGAGATACCACTTCACACCTATTAGGATGGCAACTATTAAAACAAAATTGTTGGAAAGAAATTAGAATCCTCACGCACGGTTACTGGATTGTAAAATGGTCTGACTACTATGGAAAATGGTACAGAAGTTACTCATAAAATTAAAAGCAGAACTACCATATGTTCTATCAGTCTTACTTCTGGGTATACGTCTAAAAGAATCTGAAAGCAGAGTCTTGAAGAGATATTGGCACACCCATGTTCACAGAAGGACTATTAAAATAGCCAAGAGGTATAAGCAACCCAAATGTCTACCCAAAAATGAATGAATAAATAAAATATGATATATACATACAATGGAATATTACTCAACCTTAAAGAGGAATAAAATCAGGGGCGAGTGGCTTTGCTGGGTGAAGGTGTGTCAGAGTTCAGTGGCTGGATGTGATTGGTGATTCGCAGCATCGTTGTATAAACTCACAGGTCAAAATGCAGATCTTCGTGAAGACCCTGACCGGCAAGACCATCACCCTGGAGGTGGAGCCTAGTGACACCATCAAAAATGCGAAGGCCAAGATCCAGGATAAGGAAGGCAGCCCCCCGACCAGCAGAGGCTCATCTTTGCAGGCAAGCAGCTGGAAGATGGCCGCACTCTGACTACAATATCCAGAAAGAGTCAACCTTGCACCTGGTCCTGTGTCTGAGAGGTGGTATGCAGATCTTCGTGAAGACCCTTACCGGCAAGACCATCACCCTGGAGGTGGAGACCAGTGACACCATCGAAAACGTGAAGGCCAAGATCCAGGATAAGGAAGACATCCCCCACCCCGACTAGCGGAGGCTCATCTTTGCAGGCAAGCAGCTGGAAGATGGCCAGACTCTTTCTGATTACAGCATCCAGAAAGAGTCGGCCTTGCACCTGGTCCTGTGTCTGAGGGGTGGCTGTTAATTCTTCAGTCTTGCATTCGCAGTGCCCAGTGATGGCAATACTCTGCACTACAGCCATTTGCCCCAACTTAAGTTTAGACATTACAAGTTTCAGTTATAGCTGAACCTGTTCAAAATGTTAATAAAGGTTTTGCTGCATGGTAAAAAAAAAAAAAAAAAAAAAAAAAAGGAAGAAAATCCTGTCACATGCTACATGTTTGAACCTTGAGGATATTATGCTAAATAAAACAGAGCAGTGACAAAAAGACAAATATTCTTATATTTATATGATTCTGCCTGCATGAGGTAACTAAAATATTCAATAGAAACAGAAGGTAGGGGCCAGGAGCAGTGGCTCATGCATGTAATCCCAGGAATTTGGGAGGCCAAGGTGGGCAGATCACCTGAGGTCAGGAGTTCGAGATCAGTTTGGCCAACATGGCAAAACTCTGTCTCTACTAAAAATACAAAAATTAGCCGGGTATGGTGGTGGGCACCTGTAAACCCAGCTACTCGGGAGGTTGAGACAGGAGAATCACTTGAACCCAGGAGGCGGAGGTTGCAGTGAGCCGAGATCACACCATTGCACTCCAGCTGAGCAACAAAAGAGAAACCCCGTCTCAAAAAAAAAAAAAAAAAAAAAAAATAGCCAGGCATGGTGGCACATGCCTATAGTCCCAGCTACTCAGGAAGCTGAGGCAGGAGAATCAATCTTTTGAACCCAGGAGGCAGAAGTTGCAATGAGCAGAGATCACACCACTGCCCTCCAGCCTGGACAACAGACCAAGACTCCATCTCAAAAAACCAAACCAAAACAAAACAAAACAGAAGGTAGAGTAACGGTTAACAAGGGCTAGGGGCAGAGGAAAGGGGTGAGTCAATTGTTTAATTGGCATTGTTTCAGTTTTGCAAGATGACTACTAGAGATCTGCTTCACATCAATGCAAATACACTGGAAACTACCGGATTATTCATTTTAAAATGGTTAATGTGGTAAATTGAATGCATTTTTACCACAATAAAACAATTCATTTTAAAAACAGGCCCCAGCTGGACACGGTGGCTCATGCCTATAATCCCAGTACTTTGGGAGCCAAGGTGGGTGAATCAGTTATGGTCAGGAGTTGGAAACCGGCCTGGCCAACATGGCAAAACCCTGTCTCTACTAAAAATACAAAATTAGCTGGGCACGGTTGTGCACACCTGTAATCAAAGCTACTTGGGAGGCTGAGGCAGAACTGCTTGAACCCAGGAGGCAGAGGTTACAGTGAGCCAGGATCACGCCACTGCATTCCAGCCTGGGCAACAGATTGAGACTCCATTTCAATTGAAAAAAAAAAAAAACAAAAAACAGAGGCCAGACATGTTGGCTCACGCCTGTAATCCCAACATTTTGGGAGGCTGAGAGGAAGGACTGCTTGAGCTCAAGAGTTCTAAGATCAGTCCAAGCAATATAGTAAGACCCCTTCTCTAAAAAAAAATTTTAAAATACAGGCACAGTGGCTCATATTTGTAATCCCAATATTTTGGGAGGCTGAAGCAGGAAGACTTAGTGAGCTCAGGAATTTAAGACCAGCCTGTACAATATAGCGAGCCCCTACCTCTACAAAAAATTTTTAAAAATCCGGGCATGGTAACCTATGCCTGTGGTCCCAACTACCCAGGAGGCTGAGGTGGAAGGATCTCTTGAGCCCAGAAGGTGGAGGCTGAAGTGAGCTGTGATCACGCCACTGCACTCCAGCCTTGGTGCCAGAGCAAGACTGTCTCAAAAAAAAAATATATATATATGTGTATATATATTATTATTTTTTTATTTAGCTGGCATGATGGCACATGCCTGTAGTCCCAGCTACTAGGGGTGGAATGAGGTAGGGTGGCAGCTGAGATGGGAGGATCACTGGAGCCTGGGAGGTCAATGCTGCAGTGGGTCTTAATTGTGTTACTGGACTGCAGCCTGAGCAACAGAGTGAGACTCTATCTAAAAAACAAACAATAAAAAAATGAACTAAGGATTTGAACACTTTTCCAAAAAAGATACACAAATGGCCAAGAAGCACCTGAAATGCAACGTAATTACTCATTAAGGAAATGCAAATCAAAATCACAGTAAGCTATTACTTCACACCCACTAGGTTAGTTATAACCAAAAACAATCTCAAGTGTTGCAAGAGATGTGCGGATATTTGAACCCTCATATACTGCTGGTGGCAATATAAATGGGTACTTTGGAAAAGTTTGGCAATTGCTCAAAATTTAAATTTAGAGTTACCATATGACCCAACAGTATCAATCCTGGGTATACATCCAAGGTAACTGAAAATATTACATATATATATATAAGCTAGCTGGCATAAACCATAATGCTGCTACAAAGTGCAAACAACCAAATGTAAATTAATTGATGAATGAATAAACAAACTGTGATATATCAGTGCAATGAAATACTATTCAGCCAAAAAAAAAAATGAAGTTCAAATAGGCCTACAATACAATGTACCTTGAAAATACACTAAGTGAATAACGCCAGACACAAAAGGCCACATATTTTATGATTTTACTTATGTCCAGAATAAGGCAAATCCATAACGACAGAAATAAAGTAGCAGCTGCCATGGGCCGGTTGAAAAGAGGAATGAGGAATATAGTAGGTTTGAAAAACGACCCCCAAAATATCAGGTCCTAATCCCTCAAATTTATAAATGTTATCTTACTCGAAAAAGGATCTTTGCAGATGGGAAAATTATCCTGGACTACACAGGTAAGCCCTAAATGCCATCACAAGTGTCCTTGTAAGAGAACAGAGGGAGATTTCACACATACTCTAGGAAAAAGTGACTAGAAGACAGAAGCAAAGATTAGAGTGACATGGCAACAAGCCAAGGAATGTCACATCCACAAACTAGAAGGCAAAGAATGGATTCTCCACTAGAGTTTCCCAGGGGAGTATACCCCTGCCAGCATCTTGATTTAGGTCTCGTGAAACTTATTTTGGACTTCTGACCTCCAGGACTAAGGGAGAATAAATTTTTGTTGTTTTATGCCACCAAGTTTGTGATAATTTGTTATAGAAGCCATGGGAAAGTAATATAGAAAGTGACTGCTAATGGATACAAGATTTCTTTAGGGTTGATGAAATGTCTTGGAATTAGATATTGCTGATGGTTATACAATTTTACTAATATGTAATACTAAAAACCATTCAGTTTCACACTCTAAAGGGTGTATTTTATGGCATATGAATTACATCTCAAAGAAAAAAAATGCCTAGCAACAGGCTGGTATAACCCTTCATCTCCCAGCAACTGCTGCTAAATTTTCTTTTTTTTTAGATGGAGTTTCACTTTTGTTGCCCAGGCTGGAGCGCAATAGTGATTCTTCTGCCTCAGCCTCCGGAGTAGCTGGGATTACAGGCGTGCACCACCCCCAGCTAATTTTGTATTTTTAGTAGAGACAGTTTCTTCACATTGGTCAGGCTGGTCTCAAACTCTTGACCTCAGGTGATCTGCCCACCTCGGCCTCCCAAAGTGCTAGGATTACAGGCGTGAGCCACTGAGACCAGCTGCTGCTAAATTTTCAAAGCACCATTAAGTAGCCTCAATTCCTAACAAGGGTTAGGTAATTAGGATAATGGAACAACGCAAGCTAATCTAGCCAACAAAAAGAATTAAGCTAGTAGCAGGTGATCAATTCATAAACTGTAGTGGGAGTCATACATTCCCAAGGATGGAATAGTTATATCTCCTTGCAGAGTGAACACTTCTCCGATACCAAGGACTTGGAGGACCAAATAAACTATACGTAGGATTACCAAATACGCTGGTATGACCAAGGCAGTTGCAGTTTAAACTGCTGTCTTTGTGTAATTATGGATAGTTGCCACTCTTCAGTCTTTAATAAGTCCTTTAGTTTAGATGATAAATTATATAGTCAACCCAGTTATCAGGGATCTAGAGGTTTCAAAAAGCTGTGAGAGCATATTCTATGCAGGCTAGATAGCGACTATCATGACTCCCTATGTAACTTCGATCTCTACGATTGGAACGCTCATTGGGACGCTCCCAGGGAAAAAATCCCAGTAAGACTTCCGCAGAGTATTCACATTTTGTTTCAAACTTATACAACACCAGTACTTAAGCTCAATTCTCAGAATTGTATCATTCAGTATTATCCAAGTGACTGATTAATTTATACACTGAAGGGAAAGAACAAGGAATGTAAATTTACAAGTATAAGAAGCTAACAAAGAATAAGATTAAAATAGCTTGTGCCCACATTAACTGTTAAAAGCCAAAAGGTAGAATGTTCACAATTCTCTTTTCACATATAAAATTGACCCTAATGTAATATTTTAATATTGCTGCATGAGAATTGAGTTGGTGGGGGAGTACGTTAAAAAGTTAGGGAGAAATTGTTCCTCTACAGAAAGACCATTATACAAGATGTGTAGCCAAACATACATGTTTGATGTTCAGATGTTCGCTATTTTGGCGGAACTATAGCTATAAAATGTATTGAATCAGTAGAATTAAAACATAATTCCAGTCCACAAAAAACTAAGAGAGAAATTATACAGGAATGATCAAGAATCTGCATAGCTCTGATAATCGCATGACTAGAGAGAAAAGGGATGGGGAAGAATCAAGGTGGCATTTGAGAGAAATTTAAGAAGACGATTCATTCAATAAAATTTGGTGGGCCAACAAAGTGTCAGGTGCTGGTCTGGGGATACAGCAGTGATCCAAAGACCTTCACTTCAGGGAGCTGACATTCCAGAAGGGGCAGTCAGAAAATAATGTTTTTAAACAAAAGTAAGATGGTTATATAAACACTAAGGAGAAAAATAAAGTAGGAAATGAAAGCAGGTTGACATTCATATAACATGAATATGGCTATCTGGAGAAGAGTACTCCAACAAAGGGAACAGCAAACACAAAGGCTCTGAGACTGGAGCACTTAACACATGTAAGGACTGATCAAGAAAGAGGCTAGCATGGTGGGCCCAATAAAAAGGGTGACAAGTTAGAAATGAGATAAAAAATAAACTGGTTGTGGCAAAGAAAAACCAAGATCATGTAAACCATTCTAAATTCTTCAGCTTTGGCTGGGCGCAGTGGCTCACACCTGTAATCCCAAGTGCTGGTCTGGGGATACAGGAGCGATGCAAAGTCCTTCACTTCAGGGAGCTGACATTCCAGAAGGGATAGTCAGAAAATATTTTGTTTTAACAAAAGTAAGATGGTTATATGAACACTAGGGAGAAAAATAAAGTAGAAAACTTTGGGAGGCCAAGGCAGGTAGATCACGTGAGGTCAGAAGTTCAAGACCAACCTGGCCAACATGGTAAAACCCCATCTCTACTAAAAATACAAAAATTAGGTCAGGCACAGCGGCTCATGCCTGTAATCCCAGCACTTTGGGAGGCTGAGGCGGGCAGATCACAAGGTCAGGAGATGAAAGCCATCCTGGACAACATGGTAAAACTCTGTCTCTACTAAAAATACAAAAATGAGGCTGGGCGCGGTGGCTCACAACTGTATTCCCAGCACTTTGGGAGGCCAAGGAGGGTGGATCACGAGGTCAACAGATCAAGACCATCCTGGTCAACATGGTGAAACCCCGTCTCTACTAAAAATACAAAAATTTAGCTGGGCACGGTGGCGCATGCCTGTAATCCCAGCTACTCGGGAGGCTGAGGCAAGAGAATTGCCTGATCCCAGGAGGCGGAGGTTGCAGTGAGCCGAGATTGCGCCATTGCACTCCAGCCTGGGTAACGAGTGAAACTCCGTCTCAAAAAAAAAAAAAAAAAAAATACAAAAATGAGCTAGGTGTGTCAGCATGCATTTGTAGTCCCAGCTACTCGGGAGACTGAAGCAGGAGAATTGCTTGAACCCAGGAGGCAGAGGCTGCAGTGAGCCAAGGTGCCACTGCACTCCAGCTTGGGAAACAGAGCAAGATTCCATCTCAAAAAACAATAATAATAATAATACAAAAATTAGCTGGGTGTGATGGTGGGCACCTGTAATCCCAGCTATCTGGGAGGCTGAGACAGGAGAATTGCTTGAACTCAGGAAGCAGAGATTTCAGTGAGCCGAGACCCCATGACTGCACTCCAGCCTGAGTGACAGAGTGAAACTCCATCTCGAAAAATAAATAAAAACAAATTCTTCAGCTGAGTGTGATGACAGATTACTGGAAGGTTCTGAGTGTGAAGTAATATGATCTGACTTTCATCGGGATTGCTCTGGCTACTGTGTGGAGAATAGACTATAGAGAGTTAACAGTGGAAGCAGAAGACAAGAAACTACCAAAATATTATAAATAAAAGATGATGGTAGTATCAAACAGGGTGGAAAAATGGAGATACTAAGAAGTCAGACTCTAGATCAAAATCTAGAAGTCCCACAAGGTTCATTGATGTATTGGGTTTGAAATGTGAAGGAGAGGAGGAGGACACATGAGAGGTAATGCTGAGCAGGTATATCTACGAGATCAGAGCTCAGGGAGAGTTCTGGGATAGGTACTTAAATTTTGAAGTCTTCAGTATGTATCATTATTTAAAACACAAGACTGGATGAGATCACTCAGGGAAAGAGGTCTGAGATCCAAACCCTGGGGCATTCCATCGATTAGAGGTCATGGAGATGAGAAGGAGCTAGTAAAGAAAGTTAAAAAGAAACAATTATTTGCAGCCATTCAAGTGAGAGGAGAATCAAGAAAGAGAAGCATCCCAGGAAGGAGAAAAGGAACAACTCTAATATATGCTGCCAATAGATCAAATAAAATCAAGAAAATCAACTAAAACTGGCCGATGGATTAAGCAAAGTGGAATTCATTGGTGACCTTTACAACAGTGGGTTTAAGGAAAAATGAGAATAGGAAATAGCAAATATGGACAACTCTGGAGAAATTTTCCTGTAAGGACAAGCAAAATCAGTATGTTTGCTATGTTAATGATCTGGAGAGACAGAAAAACTTAACCCTAGACAAAGAGAAGTCTTGCTAGAATAATATCCTTAAATAAGCAAGTGCACATGGAGAGGTTTCGGCCTTACCAAGAAGTCACATTATTTACCCAGAGTAACAAGACAATGCTTTGAGATCATATGGAAAAGGGTTAAATGGAAGATAAATGGCTGTGGTAGCCATGCTCCAAGATGGCCCTAAATGAATCCCACTTCCTAGAATTCACACAGTTGTAGCCTTCTCCCACACTGTAACAGGGATGGCCTGTGGGACCAGGGACCAAGCACATACAGCAGGAAACGATGGTATGCCACTTCTTAAATTAGGTCATAAAGACTCTGCCTTTCTTTATCTTGGGTACAGGTCTCTTGAATCATTTGCTCTGAAGTAAGCCAGCTGCTGTGACATGCGCAGCCCCATGGAGACACCCTCACTCAGTGAGGCTCTGAGGCCTCCTGCCAACAGCCCAGTGAGTGAGCTTAGAGGCGGATGATCCAATCCAAGTCAATTCTGCAGAGACTGACAATCCAGCCAAAAGTTCAACTACAACCTCATGAAAGACCCTGAGCCAGAACCAGCAGCTAAGCCACTCTTGGATTCCAGACCTTCAAAAACTACAAGGTCATAACATTTTTTTATTTTAAGCTACTAAGTTTTGAGACAATTTGTTACACAGCAATTGATAACTAATACAATGGGTCTCACTGAGCTGTAATCACAAATTGCTGGGCACAGAATTCACCTATAATTTCGCCTACTAGCATGCATGACTTCAGGTGACCTTCCCCACGTCCAGCTGCATGGAATTACCTCATGAAATACAACCCTTGAGAAAGAAGGTATGATAAAAGAAGTCGGCTTTATACAACTTAACATCCATGATACTCTTACTTTCTTTCTTTTTTTTGAGAGGGAATTTTGCTCTGTTGCCCAGGCTGGAGTGCAGTGACGCAATCTCGGCTCACTGCAACCTCTGCCTCCCAGGTTCTAGCGATTCTCCTGCCTTGGCCTCCTGAATAGTTGGGATTACAGGCATGCACCACCCCACCCGGCCAATTTTTTTGTATTTTTAGTAGAGACGGGGTTTCACCATGTTGGTCAGGCTGGTCTCCAACTTCTGACCTTGTGATCTGCCGGCCTCTGCCTCCAAAAGTGCTGGGATTAGAGGCTTGAGCCACTGCACCTGGCCAGTTACTTTCTTTTTCAAGAGATCTGGCAAAAGAATGCCACTACCTTCCTCTCCTTTCTCAAGAAAGCAATTTAAAGGGTTCCCGAATTACTTACATCAACAATTGGCCTGAACTAATCATACACATTCAGATTCCCTCAGTAAAATATTAAATACTAAACAGGGGGCCAGGCGCGGTGGCTCACGCCTGTAATCCCAGCACTTTAGGAGGCCAAGGTGGGCGGATCACAAGGTCAGGAATTCCAGACCAGTCTGGTCAAGATAGTGAAACCCCGTCTCTCCTAAAAATACAAAAAATTAGCCGGGTGTGGGGGTGTGCACCTGTAATCCCAGCTAGTCGGGAGGCTGAAGAAAGAGAATTGCGAGAACTTAGGAGGTGAAGGATGTAGTGAGCCAAGATCACGCCTTTGCACTCCAGCCCGGACGACAGTGTGAGACCTCAGCTCAAAAAAAAAAAAAAAAAAAAAGCCGGGTGCAGTGGCTCACGCCTGTAATCCCAGCATTTGGGAGGCCGAGGCAGGCGGATCACGAGGTCAAGAGATAAGAGACCATCCTGAGTAACATGGTGAAACCCCGTCTCTACTAAAAACACAAAAATTAGCTGGGCGTGGTGGCGCGCGTCTGTAGTCCCAGCTAGTAGGGAGGCTGAGAAGGAGACTGCTTGAAACCGGGAGGCTGAGGTTGCGGTGAGCCGAGATCGAGCCACTGCACTCCTGCCTGGCGCCTGGCGACAGAACAAGACTCTGTCTCAAAAAAAAAAAAGTACTAAACAGCCATGTTTTAGCACAGGAAAGGGCAAGAGAGCGAAACTGAAGGAAAAAAGATACAACTTTGGCACTTACTGAGGAGACCTCTCTCTTCTTACCTCAAGTTTACACGCAACTTTTAAGAACTTGAGCTATTCCAGGAAGGAGAAGGTCACATCCTTGAAGGTAACCAGAGAGAAGCATTAGTTACCTACATGTTAAAAGAGTATTTTAGATCCCACCGCCTGCCTGACATTACAATGTGGGTGTTTTGGCAGTCATCTCACACTTAGCCAGAACTTCCCCCACATCTGTTCCTCCAATCTACCCTTAGTAAAGGAAACATCCCACGCGCCGAATGCCCATATCGAAAGCCTCCAAATCACCCTAGGTCCTGGCTCTCACAGGAGGGCCTCCATTAGGGTTCCAGGGGCTGCGTTCAGAGTCCCGGGAGCCACGCAACAAGCAAGACAAGACGCTGCCGTAGAGGAGAGAGGCGGATACATGTAAATGCCTTAGGGGGTCTGGGCCTACAGATCTCCAGAGAGAGGGAGGGCCTGGGGTTACAAAACAGGTTTCAGATTTTTAAATATATTGAGCGCCAAAAGAGACCCCGCGGGGGCGATGGGGGAGGGGAGCGCACTGGGAGCCAGGAAAGGCCCCTTCTCCAGAAGCCTGGGCCCAACCCGGGGTGGGGGCGTCCGCGCGGGGGAGGGGAAGCTGATGTGCAAGCAGCGCCGGCCGAGGTTAGGGAAGTAGGTGCGCGTGAGGGGACTGAGAGACCCGCTTCTGCCCTCACTCTCAACAGAATGCGGCTGCACCGCAAAGGCCGCTTCGGCAGCGCACGTCCAGGCGCGGTGTCGCGACCCGCAGGGCTGCGAGTCGCCAGAAATCCCTCAAGTTTCCCCTCAGGGAACGCTGAAGCCGCGCCACGCCCCCGTCCTTACCGGTCTCAGTTGCTGTTCCTGAGCTGCCGGCCACGCACGAGTCCCGGAGGCGCTCCCAGGGAAAAGCCGGCGGCGACTACGCCTCCTCAGGCCCCCGGCGCCGCCAACGCGCACGCCTCCACAGGCGCGCGTCCAGTGGAGACCTGCGATTGGCTGCCAGGTGCGGGCGCGAGGTCGGCGCGGCCAGCTGGGCGCATGCGCGCGCTGTGATGCCCCTGGTGGCTACTGAAGGACGCGGGGTTAGGTTCAGAGGGAGGAGGGCAGCGGTAATGCCCCTGAGGCTCTGGAAGGATCTCTGGTAGTTAGGGCTCCAGAGCTGAGGTGGCCAGGGCTTGGCGCCGGAGATGGGCTTCCAATCCATCAGGGGATAGTTGGCCCACTAGTAGTCCAGCTGTTATAATCCTAAGGTGTGGTCCCTTGGCTGACTGTCCATGCTTAAGGGATCTTGACGAAACAACTGAGCCTTACGTCTGTCCTCTGCAAGTTACATCTGGGCCAGTCGAATCCAACCTGCCACCTGTTTTTGTACAGCTGGCAGCAAGCTTAAGAACAGATTTTACAGGGTTTTTTTTAATGGCTAAAAAAACAAAAGGAGAGTATTATTTTGTGGCATGTGAAAATTGTATGCAATTCAAAATTCAGTGTCCATAAATAAAGTTTTATTGGAACAACAAGCATACCCATTCCTTTAGGTATTGTTTTCCTTTTTTCCTGCTACAACAGCAAAGTTGATTAATTGCCAAAGACCATGTATGAAAAGCTTAAAATATTTACTATCTGGCCCTTTACAGAAAGTTTGCCCACTCTCAATTTGTTTGCAGCGTTTGATTTCTTTTCAAATTAACCAATTCTGCCAAATGTCTATTTTAGCAACCTTGTTTTTTAGGGGGCAGTGTTTATAGCTTTTGGTTTCATTAATCTATATCATTTTCTTCTTTATTTCATCTATTTCTTCCACTCTATTTCCTTTCTTCCTGTCTTCATAGGCTTGCTCTGCTACTCCTCTTTATAACTTTTAGAGATAAATGCCTACCTCATTTGCTTGTAAACTCTTTCATTTCTCTTGTATTTAATGCTATAGATTTACTTTTAAGTGCCAATTCAACTGCGTCCCACCAGTTCTGCTTGGTAATATGTTCATTATTCTTCAATTAGTTATGTCCTAATTTTCCTAGTGATTCTTTCTAACGCAAGGGTTATATAGCATATGTCATTTATTTTTGAAATCTGTGAGATTTTTTAGTTATTTTCTAATTCTAGATCCTTGAGGAATTGCCAGTCTTCCACAAATAAGGCACATGAAAGATAAACCTTAATGTACATATATACACCATAAAACCACCATCCAGATGCAAATATGGGACATTTCCAGTGCCCCAGAACTTTTCCCGTATGCTTCCCAGTCGACAGCCCAGGTAGGAGGGGGCAAAACTTGAATAGACATTTAATTTTTAAAAAAATATTCAAGTAACCAATAACTATATCATCTCAAGACCCATTATTCATCAGGGAAATGCAAATTAAAGCCACAGTGAGAGACCATTACAACCTCAAGAGAAGGGCACTTACTAAAAGGACTGACAATACCAAGTGCTGGATCAGTAGCAATGGAATTCTCAATATTGTGGTGGGAATGTAAATTGTTTCAATCACTTTGGAAATGTTTTTGGCAGTATCTACACTAGAAAGCTAAATATATGCAGTTCCAGCACTTCTCATAGCTAAATATACCCATGAGAAGTGACTACATGCTTACCAAAAGACCTGCACAAGCTCATAGCAGCTTTATTCAAAACTGGCAAAGAATCAGCCTCAAAGTCCATCAACAGTGAAATAGATTAATGTAAATCTACCATCGTCAGTCAACAAAGTTCTACCCAGCAATGAAAAAGAATGTGCTACTGCTACACAGAGCAAAAGTTCATCTTGCTTATTTTAATTTTAATTTATTTTGAGACAGAGTCTTGCTGTCACCCAGGCTGGAGTGTGTGATCTCAGCTCACTGCAAACTCCCTCTCCCAGGTTCAAGCGATTCTCCTGCCTCAGCCTCCCGAGTACCTGGGACTACAGGTGTGCGCCACCATGCTTGGCTAATTTTTCTATTTTATGTAGAGATGTTGGCCAGCCTGGTCTCAAACTCCTGACCTCAATTGATCCACCTGCCTCAGCCTCCCAAAGTGCTGGGATTACAGGTGTAAGTCACCATGCCCAGCCATCTCACTTATTTTAAAAAGCCAAAGACAAGAATCTTTGTGTGATTCCATTTATTTAAAGTTCATAAACAAGTAAAACCTCTATGGTCAGAATAGGGGATACTTTGTTGGGAGGATTTAGCTGGGAAAGGGCACAAAGACTTCACAGCTACTTCTTGATAATAGGGAACTGATGTAGATGCTTGTTAGCATCTACAGCCACAATGCACACAAGGCCTAGCCTCACTTCTGCCTTTCAGAACTCCTGGCAGTGAGTAGAACATATTTTCAGCTAGAATCCTTGCTGCAGGGGAGTCTGGAATCTCTAGTGTTCATAGTCATCTTTTTAGTTTTTACAGGTGACAGCTGAGGGTTGTCACCTGTAACGTTGCTCACAATAATGGAAGCCACATCACTTGAGCCTGGCTGAACTGAAGTTCGAATAATAACTTTTGTTTCACGAGGCAACCCTTGCAGTTGCTCTGGCTTTTTAAATGTGTGATGGTTCTTGGTTTTGTGCTTTGTTTCCTCCTTCAACGTCAAAAACTGCAGCCGGCACTTGGAACATTGACGGACTCTCTTCCTGCTATGCCTCCAACAATGATTCATATATGGTATTGCAGTTTTGAAAATTTTGAGACAAAAGGGACAAAGCAAATTCTTTGTGTTTTCATGGCATGTTCTGAAATGTGTTTCCACATCAGCAAAGAACGATGATCTGTAATGGCAAACGTGGCACACATAGGGCATTTCGCCAGGCTTATGATGGTCCTTCATGTGTTGTAAGAGGACCTGATCTGTTTTGAATGACAATTCACAGATCTTACAGACAGCAGAGGGCCCCTGAGTGATGTGCACACTGTCAACGTGACACTGTAGCCGGAAGGGAGTGGGAAATTTCCGGTGGCAGTGCTGGCAGGTGGTGTGGTTTTCCCAGCTGTCATTCCTCTGCTTCTCAAACTCCAAATGATGCTTCACGTGATTCATGAACTTAACATTTTTTAGAGTTTTCAAGCAGCTGAGGCATTTAAAGGTGGTGTCAGTCTTCTGTTCCAGCTGCCCATCTCCTTTATGCTGTCCATAGTAAAAGTCATTAAGTAACACGATCAGATTTTCTTTCTTGGGATCAAAGGTCTTCTTTTGACTTGCTAGACTTGAAACATCTGTCATTACCAGGCCATCAAAGTCATTTGCTCTTTCAGGATTCCCAAGATTTAAATGTGCCCTTTCATTAGCATCAGCCCAAGGAAATGTTACTCCATTCTGAACATAGTTTGATGAGTTGCAGACCCCCTGTGAGGGTGCATTTGTGCTTATAACAGGAGAGTTATCTGAAAGGACTACAGCTAAAGAATGTACCCCTGGGATTCCATCCCTGAGTTTAACCCTTTTGGGATTTCTGCTGTTTATATCTGAAGTGGAAAGTAGCTTTGAATCAGGAGAATTCTCATTTCTGCCTTCTCCAGAGACCACAGCTTCGACTAGACACTGAGTCCCTGGTGGGAGTGAATCTGAGGAATTGGGAGAGACAACTTGTGGTGAGCTCATTTTATAACCAGGTTCAGATGAAGACTCCATAACGACAGGACTGTCTGTTAATCTTTCCTCAGTTGGAGAAACTGGCATAATGGCTTTTGCCATAGAAGTCACATGATTGGCAGGCTGCGACACGTGAACAGGATCTTGACGGAAGTGGCCTTTTTTTCTTCTTGAATTTGAGCCTGGGGTGACTCTGTTCAAAATATTTGAAATGACTGGTTTTGAATTTGAAAACACCCCAACAAAGAGAATTTCGGCGTGTTTATGTACATGCTCCACCCCAACGAAGATCAGCTCTGGGTCTTCATCACCCTTGTCCCTCTGTTTGGATTCTCTCAAATTCTTCTGTGGTGATTCTGCTTCCTTACACAAAAAGACGTCTCCCATTTTCAATTAACTTCTTGCTTGAAGCCACTGGTCCCTTCAACTTCCACAGCTGTCTTTTTATAAGCTGCAACCTAAGTGCAACCATGTGACAATAGTCAATATTGACTTCAAAAAGCAAAAGCATTACTTTATTGTATCCTCCCTTAAAACACTGAGATAACTAAGGCTGGGTGCGGTTGCTCACGCCTGTAATCCTACCACTTTGGGAGGCCGAGGTGGATGGATCACCTGAGGTTAGGAGTTCAAGACCAGCCTGGCCATCGTGGTGAAACCCCATCTTAAAAAAAAAACAAAAAACAAAAAACACTGAGATAACTATTAACATCACTATTTGACACATCAGAAATAAGGCTTGAAACATTTAAATGGCATGATAATTTCAAATTTACCTCTCTCTCCTTCCCTGGTCTTCTGCCGCTGTGAGGCAAAGGAAGCAAGATTTCAGAAGGTGCAGATGGAACATCTCAGCGTGCTTGCCTCTTTAAATTTTGCACCCTAGATACCTCACTCATCTCCTCCTCATCCCACGTGTACTCGCTCACATGTCTAAAGTTTCTAATCAACTTGAACAAAACTTCTCTGAAAACATTCTGTTCCTAGCCTGAGCAACATAGCAAGACCCCATCTCTACAAAAAAAAAAAATTAAAAATAAAAAAATCATTAGCTTGGCATGGTGGTACACAGCTGTAGTCCCAGCAACTTGGGAGGCTGAGGCAAGAGGAACACTTGAGCCCAGGACTTCAAAGCTATGATCATGCCACTGTACTCGAGCCTGGGCAACCAAGTGAGACACCATCACATACCCAAAAAATCCACGACACACACACACACACACACACACACACACACACACACACCCTTTCCTGTTCCTGTAATGTTCCTTTTCTCAGTAAACCCAGTTGCTCAGTCTACAAACTTCAGAGTCATCCTTTACCAGACTTTCTCTCATATCCTACAGCCAATCAATTAGCAAACCCAGTCTGCTGAATCCTCTAAAGATACCCAGAATCTGACTA